GCTGCCGCCGTTGCCGCGAATAGAGCCCGCAGTCGCTGAAAGGTCTGGCTCGGTCAAGCATAGCAGAAGTTCGCATTCCCAGCTGGCGAGTTTGTAATTCAACCAATGGGGCCCCGGGTGAAACCCATCTTTGAAAAACACCAGGCAGTCGCTCCTTCGGAGCTTCGAAAAGTAGCAGGCGAGCCGTTGCATCGGATCTGGGGCCACCCCAGCCAGCCAGAGGCGCTCTCAGTCCTGGCCCCTGGAGAGTTGCCGCTCCCAGGTCTGAACCCATGGCCCCCATCGGCCCCGACCAGGTGCGAGCTGCCCTGCAGTCGATCCCAGACAGGCGGAGGCGCGGCCTGGGCGGCCTGCCACTGCGCCTGGTCAAGGACGGCCCTCCCGAATGTCACGTGGCGCTGGCTGCTCTACTCTCTGATGTGGAGACCGGCGCCACCGTGCCTTCCCAGGAATTGCTCAATCTCATCTGCCTTCTTGATGCGGGGGACGGTGGCCACGGGCCCATTGCCCTGTTGAGTTTCCGCTATGTGCTGCTGCATAAAATCCGCGAGCCAGCGATCGGGGACCGGGGCAGGGCCAGTCGCGGACCTTGGGCCAAGACTGCAGGTCGCTCAGCCGAGCGCGCAGTCTGGATAGATGAGCTCGAGGGGGAGTTGGCGGTTTTGGGCGCTGTGTTCGGTGGCAGGGGGAACTGCTGGCTACGCGTGGATTCTACGAGTCTACCTGCCTGACCTTGCCGCTGCAGCCCAAGATTTGGGCTTCCCTCTCAGGCCCCCAATCCTCGCCATCGACGTCCACCTCGGCCCTCGCCCCCTCGCCCCCCAAAAGACGGCCCGCCCGGGGCGGTCGCCTGGACGGGGCATTCTGGCGGGGCGCGGCCAGGCAGCATCCCAGGCCAGAGCCCTTCTTTTTGAACCTCTCCAGGATACTGCCTCATCGGGGCCAGGCTTGCACCTCGGAGATGATGAGTAAGCTTTCGCGACGGTTGGCACGGGGCGCCCGATCAGCATAGTTCCCCCTGTAGTCCACAGCACCCTCTTGAGGGATTGAGGCGACGGGGGTGCGTTCTGTCGAATACAAAATGTGTTATCATGGCCCCCTCAGCAGCAGCGCGCTCAGAGCGGGCTGCCTGGGCTGCTGACGCTGGAGAAAAGGCCGCGAACCTCTCAATGGCTCAGGCGGCCAGAGATCTAGGTCACGACGCGACTTTCGGAGCTGCCAGATCTGTGAAGGTCCGTCGCCGCCGTCTTTTGAAGGGGCGCCGCGCGGCTCTCAAAATTGTCAAGTTTGCCGAGGCTGGGCCCAAGGCGACCAAGCTTCATTTCACAAACAGTTTCCCCGAGGCTGCTCGGACTCCAGAGGCCCACGGGTTGGCCCCATCCACCATGCGACAGTTGCGCGGCCAGGCGCGCCTGGACAGCAAATGCACCCAGCGCGGCTCTTGCGCCACCACGGCCACCAGAGTGCCCATTGTTTCTGGGCGGGACCCGTGGATCCAGTGCATGCGCAAGCTGGTTGGCGCTTGGTTTTTCGCGGGCTTTCTCCGACCCTCTCCCCGCCAGGAGAATCCGAGGGCGCTGGGGTCCGTCTCTCGCCCGCGTTGCCAAGGGCTGGTCCTGTGCCCGTGATCCTTTACGGGCTTGCCAAGCGTCTCTTGTTGTTCTCGGGTGGGAATGCCCTACCCTCGACTCCCTGCGCGAGCCAGGTGGCCTCGACGGCTTCGCGTGGGAGCTAATCGATCAGGGCGCGGCTCCACCCACCCGGCTCCGGGGCGCCCATCGAGGCCACGATCGAATCTCGAGCGTGGCTCCAGACCTCCAAGCATCTCGATGGGGCTGGCGGGGAGGGTGGTGTCTGGTTTCAGCGCGCAGCTACTCTCGCAGAGAGGTTGGCGGAGAAAGAAGAGCCAGCCAGCTCTCGCCAGCATGGTCCGTCTAGTGGCATGCGTAAGCTATTGGGCGGAGTCCCGTCGTTGTTTGCTGGCTACACGGCGGGCGACTTGTGTCAGAGGTGCAGACGCCCCCCTGAGTCCAATGTGCATCGGTGTTGGGAATGTGCGTGTAACTTTCTCTCTCAGGAATGGGCCTCCAGAGTGGGTGTGGAGCCCCTGTCGGAATTCATGGTTGAGACCAACCATGTTGCCCAGCAAGCCTTGCTGGAGGTTGACCAGTCCCCGATTTACTGGCTTGGTGGGCTGATCCCCTTTTCCTGGCTTGACCTCCCGCCCCCCTCCTGAGCCCCGTCAGCTCGAATGGCTCCGCGTCCAGGCCTGGCCCCTGCCTGGAGGAACCTATGGAGCGGATGGCTCGGGTGGCCACCATGGTAAGCAGCCGATGCTACGTCGTGTGGCGCGGGGTTTTGTGCGTCTGGCCGCCTGGCCTCCTTGAACCCCTTCTCTTGGGACTCGGGGTGCACGGGTTCGGTGGACAGCCCAAAGCCAACGGCTCCTCGGGCTGAGCTTTTGGGCCTTATAGAGGTGCTTCGGGTTGTCCGACCAGATGAAGACGCCACCGTCCTTTCTGATCATGTCAATCATGTTCGGGCGTTCGTCCAGGGCGTGAAGCTTGCGACTGCTGACCTTTGGTGTGAGTTTTGGGGCCTCGCAGACCCTCGTGCAGCCCAGCTGTCTCTCGTGCGCGCCCCCTCCCGCCCTGACGAAGACGAGACGACGCGTGCCCGCTTCGGTTTCTCCATCCAGGCAGGAAGCATATTTTTGCACGCGGTGGCGGACGGCCTTGCCGACGAGCGTGCTTCGCGCGCCCGGGTGCCCGACCCCACTGCGGAGCGTGCCCTCGCAGCTTCCTCGAGGAGGCGGAGTCCATATTGCTCCGCCACGCCTCCCTTGCCATCACTGCTGCCGCCGCTCCCAGGGATCCCGAGAGGCCTGGTGAAGCCCCCCCCCGTTTCACGCGGGTCCAGAGGCGAGCGGCCTCGGTGCACAGGGCAAGGAGCGCTTCCAACCATGTCCGGCGCGATTTTCCCAGGGGGAGGAGGAGGAGGAGGAGGAGGAGGAGGAGGAGGAGGAGGAGGAGGAGGAGGAGGAGGAGGAAAAGGAGGAAAAGGAGGAGGAGGCGGAGTGTAGCTGGAGGAGGAGGATGATGAGAAGGAGGAGGAGGAGGAGGAGGGAGGAGGAGGAGGAGGACGAAGACTCGGACGAGGAGGAGGAGGAGGAGGTTGGTCGTGCACCTGGTGTGGTAAGATTGTTGTCAGGACACAGCAGAGCGCCCTCTCTTGGCTTCGCTCCTCGTGGTCGGCCCTTGCGGGTACCCTTGCTCCCCTGCCTGTGTCCCCTGCTCGCGTGGCTGTCCGCCTCCCTCGAGGGTTCGGATCTCTGCCGCCTCTTGACGGGCAGTACTTTCGCTTCAAAGGCTGGCCTGGTCCCCCTGTGCGTCTCGAGGGCCAGGGGTGGAAGGGGCCACGTCTTGCACTCTGCGGGTCTCGTTGGCGGTACGCCGAGGGGACCCCGAAGCTCCAGACCTTGAATGCGGGTGCGTGCGGTTTGGGCACTTCTCGCTCACATGAGCCCAAGTACACTGCCGTCATGAGAGTGCGGAAGCTGCTGCGGCCTGATTTTCACGACCCCCTTTGAGGTCCCGTCTTCCTGCTGGTTGGTCGTTGTCCCTCGTGGTCTGCAGCCCAGCCTTGCAGCTGCTTCTAAGAAAAAAGTCGTCGTCGCCAGTCCCAAAACAAGCAAGAAACAATGAGAAAAAAACGTCGCAGGTAAATCCAAGGGAAGCCCCTTCCCGTTTTCCCTTCACTGTCGAGGGGGGTGGGGGAGCGAGGATGGGGGGGGGCGATCCTGGGTTAGAATGCCGTCCCCCCTGGGTCCTGGCGGGTGCCCCAGGTGGGTCGCCAACGGGGGTCCTGGATGAAATCCCGCCCTCAGGGTCGGCGGCACCGGCCTTAAGGCCTTCGCAACAAACACAGACGCAGCTGAACGCCGACTCCCTGGATCTGTGGGAAAAAACATGGGAAGCGGAAGGGGAAGACGAAACTCTAGAACACATCGGAGTCGGCGGTGGACAAACCTCCCTTTAGCAAACCTCCCCTTAGTGAAAACGGCCTGGGACCGACACCGACGGACCTGGACCCGCAGAGATGACGGCCGCGACGCCCTCTCGCGAACCGAAAACGGCCAATTCCTGAATCGACGTGTCAGGGTAGGAGGTCGATCCACCTCCGAAGGAGCACATCGGGAATCATGCCGTTTGTGGACATATATATATATATACATACATATATATATATATATATAATATATATATATATGTATGTATGTGTGTGTGTGCCTCGAGGTCCCTGCAGCGTGGCCCCTCGAGGCGCGGGCCCGGGGGATGAGGTGCGGTGAGCTCGCCGGGCAGAGGATCTGAAAGGGGGCCCCGGGACACACACGAAGAAATACAGTCGGGGCCTTGACCTAAGGAGCCCTAAATGAGGAACGAGGCCCCCCTTTTCCCATAAGTTCAACCTCGATTCCCCTATGGAAAACCTCAGGAAAACCCGAGGCAAACTGAAAACTAATCAAGGAACACCGAGCCCCTCCCCAACGAAAAGGGTTCCTTCGTCAGCGCCCCGACTGCACACACAGATCAAAGGATTCCCCATACTATCACATATTTTCTGGGCTTTTGTCTTCCCCCCCCCCACTTCCCACATCTTCCCATATTTTCCTGGGAGGGGACGATGGCTCGTGTCTGTGTTTTTTCCCCTCCCGAGGATCGTCGGATCGGGGGTCCAGGGGTCCTGGCGGCCGGCACGAAGCCAGCATCGGGGCGGCCGCGGGCCGTTCTGAACTCCATATGCGAACATGCGTCACCTGTGCATCGGGATCCGATCGGCACGGAGCGTTCGCGGCCGGACCGTGATCGCACCGCTTCTGATTCGACAGACGGGGGGGGCGAGGACGATCATACTGATGATGGCGATGATGAGGCGTCACGGTTGATGCGTCACATCAAGGCCTGGAGATCATCGGCAACATACTGGACTAAGTGAGGCACCAAACTCGCTTGGGGCAGCCTGGCGGAGGAGGGGCAGGGCAAGTAATAGAGATCATTATCAACATGTGAGAAGAAATGTGCGATGAATGCGAAGAGACTGGACACCATGAAGATAGGGGCAATGTGTCAGAAGAGGGTTTGGGAGGGCGTCCAGGAAACAAGGTGGCCTGATGTAATTCGCAAGGAGGCGAACAGGCGAGACACGCCTGTATCATTGCCCTGTTTACTCGGCGCACTCTGGATGATTCAGCTACGTGGTGCACTCTACGTGGGTGCATGTGGGTGGCGCAAGCCAGGGCGAGACAACCAGCTGCCATGCACGGGGCGCCCACGAGGCGAACACCTAACAAACATGCCCAAATACTCATACGACAAATCCGTCACCGTGCTTTCGTACGTTGAGGCGTGAAAGATTGCCAAGCGCTGCTTGCAAGGGTTCCGTCGTCTTCAAACGCCCCCCCTCTCGTCGCACCCAGCTCCGTGCACCACCCCTACTCCTGGGGCTCCCTGGGCTGCCACTACGGCCTCCAAGACGGACCTGGCAGGTCACCAAGGCCTCCAAGACGGTCCAAGAGGTGTCCATGACGGCCTAAAATGGCTCGAGATGGCCTCGAGACGGCCCAAAATGCATCCAAGACGGCCTAACATTGCTCCAATGAAGCCTCCAGCAAAGCTCGAAGAGGCCAAAATCATTGATGTCCCATTGGTTTGTCACGAATGTTCGCATTCCCGCCGTTTCGAGCTTTCGTCGGCTCAAGACAGCGTCATAGGCCTCCAAGGTGGCCTCACGACTGCCCAGGAGGGCACCAAGAGGGCCCCAAAACGGCCCAAGAGGGCGCCAAGATGGCCCAAGAGCGGCCCAGGAGGACTCCAAGTCGGCCCGAGTTGGCGCTCAGACGGCCCCCAATGTCCCCAAGAGAGCCCCAAGGCGAAACAAGAGAGTCCCCCAAGATGGACCCTGACACCGCCCATCTGGGCCAAAAGTGCCCTCAGACGGCGCGAGGAGCCCCCACGAGCCCCCGAGGCGCCCCGAATGCGCTCGCTGCCGAGAATCCCCCAAATGCCCATAAAAAATCAGCAAGAGGCCCCGAACAAAAACCTTCAAGAGGCCCGAAGTGTCACACCTGCCGGCCTCCCGTGCCCCCTCGAACAATCGCCACCCAGCATGTTGGCCTGGCACGGTGGCGGGACTTGCCGCAGGCAGCTGGAAACAGTCGGGGCGTTGACCTAAGGAGCCCTAAATAAGGAACGAGGCTCCTTTTTTCCATAAGCTGACCTTCGATTTCCGGTCGAAAACAGAAGGAAAGCCTGAGGCAAGCTGTGAGACACTCAAGGAACGCGGAGCCCCTTACCAACGAAAAGGGTTCCTTCGTCAGCGCCCCGACTGTACACACAGATCAAAGGATTCCCCCTATACTATCACATATGTTCTGGGCTTTTGTCTTCCCCCCCACTTCCCACATCTTCCCATACTTTCCTGGGAGGGGACGATGACTCGTGTCTGTGTGTTTTTTCCCCTCCCGAGGATCGTCGGATCGGGGGTCCAGGGGTCCTGGCGGCCGGCACGAAGCCAGCATCGGGGCGGCCGCGGGCCGTTCTGAACTCCATATGCGAACATGCGTCACCTGTGCATCGGGATCCGATCGGCACGGAGCGTTCGCGGCCGGACCGTGATCGCACCGCTTTTGATTCGACAGACGGGGGGGGCGAGGACGATCATACTGATGATGGCGATGATGAGGCGTCACGGTTGATGCGTCGCATCAAGGCCTGGAGATCATCGGCAACGCTTGCCTGGAGATCATCGGCAACGCGACTGTAGGTCGGGAGCGTTTGCTTGGAGCGTGTCGCGGCGTCGGCCCCGGCGGCACTCTGTGCCCTGCAAAGCTGACAGCGCGCCGCTCCGCTCCGCGGGGCGGGAGGCCGGGGAGGGGGCTCGGGGCGTGGACGCTTGTGAGCTGGGAGGGGGAGGGGGAGGGGGAGGAGGGGGAGGAGGAGGAGGCGGAGGAGGAGGAGGAGGAGAAGGAGGCGGAGGAGGAGGAGGAGGAGGAGGAGGAGGAGGAGGAGGAGGAGGCGGAGGCGGAGGCGGAGGCGGAGAGCTGGGAAGTGGTGAGCGTGCGGGCAATATTTCTGTCCATATCCACTGCAGTATGGAGTTTCGGGTTCCCTTCCCAAGAAGCCCGAGGCGCGCTGGATGTGGATGAATTTGCCCCCTGGAGGCTCGATGTCTATCCATATCCAGTGCGCCTCGGCCTTGTGGCGCCGCTTCCAAAAATGTCCAAGAGGCACTGGATGTGGACATGAATCTTGCCCGCATCACGTATCGCGCCGAAGCGTGGTGGGCCAGAGCCAGCGGAGCGCCGCGCTAGCCAAGAGCTCCAGGCCCCTGCGTGCGAGCGCTGCTTCGGGAAGAGGAGGATCGTCGTGCACGGCAACGCACGCCACGAGCGGCTTCGAACCGAGCTGCGTCGGGCGTACGAGAGCTGAGGGCACGAGGGGGATGTGGCGCAGAAGGACCACAAAGAACGTTTCATGACCGCCGAGTCTCATTGCGCTGGGATTTGCCGAACGGCGCCCCGTCACCAGAGAAGGCCAACACCAATCAATGGGGTCACAACCACTCGAACGAAGATGTGCCCGCTGCGGGATTGGGTGTTGACGGGTCCGATCGGAGAATGTATGGATTCAGCATCGTTCAATGGATCCCCATCCCCACTTGCGTGGCCTTGGTCCCATTGACAGACTTACCCCCCTAGTTGGGGATGTATGCTCTTCCCTTCGGGTTCCTCGGGGCCAGCCTCCACCTGGAGGAGAAGCTGGTGGGGCCGAGATACCATGGCACAGTGGGGATAGTGATCGGGCAAACGCAGCTGATTGATAACGCTCTCATCGCAGAAATGGTTGTGGGTCTAGGCAAGCTCAGCCGTTCGAGCATGCACGATGGTCTGCTTACGTAGACCACTCGCAACACATGGATACCAAGAACTGCAACCGCTCATGTATGGCGGGTGAGGCCAGACGGGCTCTGAACATGTAACAAAACGCGGTCATCTCGGAATGATCAATCTCATCAACTGAACTTGCCGCGCGCAACAGGAATAGATCTCATGGATATACAACCACGGCACAAACTCCAAAAGACATCTGTCCCTCCTTCCCCCTCCGGGTTTCCCGACCCCCCCACCTCCTCCTTGCTCAATTCTATCCTTCTCCCCCCGTTCGCTCATCTCCCTCGTCTCCCCCAATCTCGACCTCCATGTTTCCACCCCTCCCGTCCCGTCCCCTTCCCGTTTCTTTCCCCCGTCTCCATCCCCGTAATTTCCTGACCGCCCATCACCTCCCACCCAACCTAACCCTGGGCGCCGACTATCGACCACGTCCCGTTATCCGTCGCTGTCAAACATTTCCCTGCTACGTACCCAATCAAGTTACATGGTATGACAAAGTGAATTTGTCAAAAATTGCCAGGACAATGGCAATGATGGTGCCGTAAAAAGTCATGCAAGCTACATCGGGTGCGATCACGTGGCGCGATTCACAAGACAACAGCAGAAGGACGAGGGACGAAGGCCCACACTTGATGAGGACATGGGGGCGGGAACAGAATACAGGAAACGGACGCGTGGGGGGCCGAACTGTCAGCGCGGCAGCAGCAGAGGGAGGGTGGCAGGGGGCAGAGGGCGACGACGAAAGCGACTGGAGGAGGCCGAAGAGTGCTGCTCGTGCCAGTCGTACGCTGAAGATGCAGCGCTGCCTGCGCCATGACGCCGCGGCGCTCGTTACAATGATTACGCGTGCTTATTTCGGGGATGGACATACCCCCTTTAGTAAAACGTGGTTTAGTGAAAACGCCCTCGGGCCCGAACCTGGCTTGCGCAAGCCTGGAAAATGACGGCCGCGGCGCCCTCTCGAGAACCGAAAACGGCCAATTCACTAATCGACGTGTCAGGGTAGGAGGTCTGTCCACCCCCGATTATTGGTAGCGCAAGCAGCGAGCGAGGCCTAGCTCGCCCGCCAGATGTCGTGCCTCCGTCCTGCACTTTGCAGCGCAAGAGCTACAGTCATCGGCCTGACCTAAGGAACGATACATAAGGAACGAAGCCCCTGTTTTCCAAGGAAAAAAGCACAAGGAACGATATCATACTAAAAACACGCATACGGAACGATAGGTAACGCATGCAAGCCTTAAGGAACAACCGAGCCCCTTTTGAAAAGTAAGTGTTCCTTACTCAAGCCGCTCACTGTACAGAACCGAAGGCGTTCCGCCACGCCTGCGGGCGGCCCGCGGCACGGCTCCGCGGGACCCCCCCAGCAGCCCTCGAAGGTGGCGGCAGTGTCGCAGATCGCAGCCACACAGGTAGGGAGGAGGAGGAGGAGGGGGGAGGAGGGAGGAGGAAGGAGGAACAGGAGGAGGAGGAGGAGGAAGGAAGGAGGAGGAGGAGGAGAAGGAGGAGGATGGCGAAGTTTCCTTTGAGTCAGCGCAGGATGTCGCCCCGCTGGACCCCCCCAGCAGCCCTCGAACGTGGCGACAGTTTGGCAGATCGCAACCCCCCAGGGATGGCGAGGTCTAGTCTGAGTCAGCGCAGGACGTCGCTCAACTGGACCCCCCAGCAGCCCTCGAAAGTGGCGACAGTGTGGCAGATCGCACCCCCCCAGGGATGGCGAGGCCTAGTCTGAGTCAGCGTACGACGTCGCTCCGCTGGACCCCCCAGCAGCCCTCGAACATGGCGACAGTTTCGCAGATCGTAGCCCCCCAGGGATGGCGAGGTCTACTTTGAGCCCGCGCAGGACATCGCCCCGCTTGACCCCCCAGCAGCCCTCGAACGTGGCGACAATTGTGAAGATCACAGCCCCCCAAGGATGACGAGGTTTAACCTGAATATGGGTAAGACGTCGCTCCGCTGGACCCCACAGCAGCCCTCGAATGTGGCGACAGTTTCGCAGGTCGCAGCCTCCCAAGGCTAGCGAGGTCGAATTCGAAACTGGTCAAAACGTCACTCCGCTGGACCCCCCCAGCAGCCCCCGAAAGTGGCGACAGGTTCGCATATTGCAGCTTCCCCTAGGAAAGCGATGTCAAATTTGAATATGCGTACGACGCCACTCCGCTGGACCCCCCAGCAGCCTCAGAAAATGGTGACAATGTCGCAGATCCCAGCCCCCCCCAAGGATTGCGATGCCTAATCTGAATCTGCGTGACCCTCGAACGTGGCGACAGTTTCGCAGATCGCAGCCCTCCCAGGGATGAGGAGGTCTAATCTGGATTGATAGAGGACGTCACCCCGCTGGACCCCCCAGCAGCCCTCGAAAGTGGCGACAGTTTGGCAGATCGCAGCCCCCCCGGGGATGACGAGGTCTGATCTGAATCTGCGTAGGACGTCACTGAGCTGGACCCGCAGCAGTCCTCGAAAGTGGCGACTGTTTCCCAGATTGCAGCCCCACCAGGGATGACGGGGTCTAACCTGAATCTGGGTAAGACACCACTCTGATGGACACCCCTAGCAGCCCTCGAAAGTGGCGACAGTTTTGCAGATCGCAGCCCCCCCAAGGATGACGAGGTTTAATCTGACTCTGCGTGGGACCCCGCTCCGGTCCCCCCCCCCAGCAGCCCTCGAAAGTGAGGCAGTTTCGCAGATCGCAGCCGCACAGGGATGACGAGGTCGAATCAAAATCTGCGTAGGGCGTCGCTCGCTGGACCCAACAGCCTTCGAAAGTGGCGACAGTTTTGCAGATCGCAGCCCCCAAGGGATGACGAGGTTTAATCTGACTCTGCGTGGGGACCCATTCCGCTGACGCCCCCAGCAGCCCTCGAAAACGGCGGCTGTTTCGCAGATCGCAGCCGCACAAGGATGGCGAGGTCTAATCTGAATCCGCGTGGGATCCCACTCCGCTGGACCCTCCAAGCAGCCCCCGAAAGTGGCGACCAATTTGAAGATCGCAGCCCCCCCCCCAGGGATGACGAGGTCTCCACCCCAGGGATGGCGAGGTCTAATCTGACTCTGCGTGGGGCCCCACACCGCTGGCGCGGCAGCCCCTGGAGAGTGGCGACGGTCTCGCAGATCGCAGCCCTCCCAGGGACGGCCAGGTAGGAGGCAGACTGGCACGCAGGAAGGAGCAGTGTGAGATGCACAAGGGCTCCCAACTTCGCGCTTCGCGCTGCGCGAAGCGCGAAGTGCGAATAACTTCGCGCTCTCGCGCCGCCTCCCAAGGGAGAAGAGGAGGACGAGGAGGAATCGGAGCCGAACCGCGAAGCGCGAAGCGCGAATAACTTCGCGCCCTCGAGGGCGCCCTTGGATGCAGGAGAGAAGGGGAGGGGGGGCGGAAGGAGGACGTGACCAATTGTCCGACTCGGAACGAGAGCCCAACGCGGGAGGGCTGGGAACACATCTTCCACTCCCGAGGTCGGGGAACCGCCGAACAATCCTCCTCCTGCTCCTCACCCTCGTCCTCCTCCTCTTCCGCTTCCTCCTCCTCCTCCTCCTCCTCCTCCTTCTCCTCCTCCTCCTCCTCCTCCTCCGCCTCCTCCTGCTCCTCCTCCTCCTCCTCCGCCTCCTCCTCCTCCTCCTTCTCCTCTTCCTCCTCCTCCTCCTCCTCCTCCTCCTCCTCCTAACACGTACATCCGCGGGGGTGGGAATGGGGGGGCGGGTGGAATAAGAGGAGCAAGACAGCCCAAGAGCGGTCTCAGGACGGCCTCTTTGGACGCAATCGCCCGCCTCTTTCAGCCCTACCGAAATCCGATTGGAATCCGATTGGGATCTCACTGGGTTCATGTTGCAACCCTCTTGGGCTCTAGTCAGAACCCATCCAATTGGAATCTTGCTGGGGTCCGATTCGGAGCTTCGTGTGATCCCGCACTGAGGGATCAGGCGGCGGGATATCACTTCCAGGGGCGAGAAACGATCTACTTTCGCCGAAATGGGGGGGAGGCTATAACCGCTTCAGACGGTTGTAATCCCCGCTTGCCCTCCAACACCCTCGTCGTTCCGATGTGGACTCAGCGTGGGTGTGAATGAAGGGCTGCAACAAGACACGACAGAAGGTCGCACCTATTCTCGGCGCTCTTCCTCGTCATCCCCCTCAACACCCCTCGGGATCGACACCTACGTTAAGAATGCTCGTGTATCAACTCCCCATCTTCCTTCTCCTCCCCCTGCTGCGAAGATCCCGAGAATGAAAGGGCCGAACTACTTACGCGGTCCATGTGTGTTTGGCTGAGACGGGATCCGCGACGCTGACTCTTCTTGTTCTCGTCGCTTACTTCTCACTTCTGACGAATCAGAGAAGTACAATTGCCCCTTCGGGGCCAATCAAAATGTTCTAGATCGAACCGGGCTCCTAAACGCTCGCACCTCATTTTTGGTCGAGGATGGCCTTTGAGCCTCAAGTTGCATGGCTGTCCCCCGACTGCAACGTAAGCGGCTATCGCGTGGGAGCCTTGCACAGCCATACCTCCTGGACCCCCCTGGTGGCCCTAGATCAATATGGAGCGGGTGATTGAGAGTCGGCCCGTTCAACCTTTCTCTGTCAATCAACCTGTAAACATTATCGAACGTCCATGATATCAGCGACGGCTAGAGACATGCCTGACCGCACATTGCTCAATACGATCGCAACTGAGTGACGGAGACAGACTTCAAGTTCCTGCAGGCTCTTGATTTCAGCGCCTGGGAGGGGGGAGGGACGATGGGGGGGGGGGCGATAAGGGGGCGCCGGCTCGGGCGGGAAAGTGTTGGCCTGGAATCGGCGAGATGCGCCGCCGAGAGATCGGCGATGGGCCCCCGACAGCGAATCCGAACGCTCCTGGGCGGGGTGGGCTATCAGGCCCCTGTCTGAAGGGGCCCTGGGACACACAAATAAATACACACAAATAAAAGGATTCCCCATATTTTCCCATATTTTCTGGGTTTCTGTCTTCCCCCCCACTTCCCATAGTTTCCCATATTTCCTGGGAATCGACGATTAATTGTGTCTGTGTGTTTTTTCCCCTCCTGACTGTCGTTCCGCCCGAGACGCCCTCGCTGCGCAGGCTCCTGCAGCTCGAAGGCTTTCCAACGGCTGCACGGACGGAGGGCGGCTGCAAGAGGAGGAGGAGCAGGAGGAGGAGGAGGAGGAGGAGGAGGAGGAGGAGGAGGAGGGGGAGGAGGAGGAGGAGGAGGGGGACGGGGAGGAGGGAGGGGGAGGGGGAAGGGGAGGAGGAGGAGGAAGGGGAGGAGGAGGAGGAAGAGGAGGAGGAGGAAGGGGAGGAGGAGGAGGAGGAGGAGGAGGAGGAGGAGGAGGAGGAGGAGGAGGGGCCTGTCGATGCATTCTCCCCTGCACCCATTTCCCCCCCCTGCCGTTGCCCCCGGCGCCCGCCTCCCGATCCTCGTCCCCTGGCTTCCGGGCCGCATCTCTCGAGGCTCCGGCGGCCGTTCGGGGTGATCCCCGGGCACCCCCGAGAGCGCTCCCTCGGCGAGGCGATGCCGCCGGACGGCACCCCGAGGCTTCGGAGCCGCCGCGAGACCACGGGAACGTCCGCACACATGGAAGTTCGACCCCCCCTGCTACTTGGTGGTCTCCAAACCAGGTGGTGAGACACCCGGTGGTGACCCCGATTCCCCCAACAAATAATTCTGGGTCACCACCGGGTTTGGGGACACGCGGTCGCCACGAGGTTTTGCGTTTCCTGGGCCAGCCAGCGCTCGAAAACCATTACCCAAAACGCCCAAAACTCACCACCGGGTGTTCTCACCACCACGTTTGGGGACCACCAAGCTATCCCCGGAGGGGGCGCAGCCCGCGGGCCTCAGCGGCTGTGGGTCCCCGAAGTCTATGGGCCGCCACTGCAGCCGCACCCGCAGGCGGGCACGGGCGGCCCTCAGCCGCGCTGCCTCGCGCTCCTCCCTGGCCTTTGGGGGGTCGCGCGGCAAGCTCCCTGCGCCCGGGGGCGTGCTCAGGGGGCAGACAAACCTACGGCAGGTTCGTGTCGTGCCGACCTCGGCGGTGGTTTCTGACACCGCGGGGATCGTTCAACCTTGAACGATCGGACGTTTCCGGAGCGTCCAAATCGTTCCACATCGAAAGATTACGGGTCGCCCGCGGCGGTCAAAGTTGAACGCCGCTGGCGGGGTCGCCGCCGGTCGACACGACACGAACCTACCGTACCTCGCTTTTGACCACCCTCGCTTCCAAGAGATACCGAGCGATGCCAAGCTACGACCTGTACTGGTCAGGCCGCTTGGCGGGGAGGCGCGTGGTATGACTCGGCTTTGCCTGGGAGCGAAAGCGGGGTAGGCAATTCACGCTCCGAGTGCTGGGTGGCCCGAGCCACGAGGGAGAGCGACGAAGGGGGGACAAACTCTGCGGGGGGGGGAGCATCGACGCGGAAGCGGCGATGCATCGCCGACGGAGCGGCACCGCGTGTCCCCGACTGCAGATCCGCGCGCTCCCGGGAGTCGTGGACTGTCGAGCCCCCTGCCGGCGATCCGTGGGCGATCGGGGGTCGACGCATCCCCCCTCGGAGCCTGCCCCCCCTCCCCCCTCCGTGGCGCTGCCTCCTCCTCCTCCTCCCCCTCCTCCTCCTCCTCCTCTTCCTCCTCCTCCTCCTCCTCCTCCTCCTCCTCTTCCTCCTCGTGCTGGTGGGAGCCGCGGCCTCTGAACGCACGCATCGCAGCGGAGTCGGGAGAGCGCCTCCCGCCGCTTCGCACGGCAAGGGCATCGGCTAAGAAACCATAAACCATTGGATGAGCAATCCAGAGCCTGGAAGCCGGTGGAACTCCAATCGTGGGCTGGTCATGGACATCACCGCCGCCCTGACCGGATCTGTGAAAAGAGAGAACGGCATAAACATACGCTTTCGACGGTCCGCACGGACTTCTTGGATCCAGGCTGGACACCCCTGGCGCGCGGAGCACACCAGGGGCGGCTCCAGATGCGCCGACAGGGGGGTCCAACGCAGATCCAAGAAATCTGTGCAGAAGTCCGAAAGTTAATGTTTATACGATGTTTATATTCCTCGAGATCAAGAATCCCCCAGGGCCTCAAGCCTCCTGGGTACATTCTTGAACCGACGCCACCACCGTGGCGGAGTGGTGCTGCAGTGTGCCAGGAGCCTCCCATACCATCTTGTTGGCTCTTGCAAATCGACGCTCATCGACGCCAAATCGAAGTTAATCGACGCTCATCGACCTCCACAACACTCCCCGCTGGCCCTGTTTGCTCGTACAGTCGGGCTGCTGACATGTAAAGAACGATACGTAAGGAACGAATCCCCTTTCTGGTCCGCAAATCGGCCAAACCTGTTTGCTCGTACAGTCGGGCTGCTGAAATGGAATTCAGGGGCGAAGAACGGCATGAAATCAACTTTTTCGTTGTCGGGGGCGCCTGTCCCAGGGCTGGAAAATTTATACCCTCACGATGGCACCGTAAGGGTATAAATTTCCGGCACGAGGAGGGCTAGAGAAGCAACCGTGGAAAGACCTACAGAACGTCGAACCTCTCCCGAACCAAACCTGCTCCTCATCAAAACGCCCTGGCTGTAAATTTCGAGGAACACTCGGCTTCCTGAGACTGCCTGCTAAGCCATGGCGGCCGTGACGATGCCGGCGCGCGTGTGTGCGTGTGTGCGTGTGCGTGTGCGTGTGTGTGTGTGCGTGTGTGTGTGTGTGTGTGTGTGTGCGTGTGTGCGTGTGTGTGTGTGTGTGGGTGTGTGCGTGCGTGTGTGTAAGTCGTCTTTCGGCGGCGAGCGAGGAGGGGAAATGAGAAGGAGAAGGCCTTCTCAGAAGGCTCGGAAGTACCCCGGCCTTCTAAGAAGTGCTCTAAGCCTCCCCCGAAGAAACGCAGAACACTTCTCAGAAGGCGCGAGGGCTTCTGAGAAGTCTGGCCGCCCTCTGAGGTCCTCTCCTTCTCATTTCCCCCCCTCGCTCGCCGCCGAATCTTGCTGCTGCCCCGCCCCGCCTCCTTCGCCCGCTGCCCCCGCCCGCCCCCTGCCCCGCCGCCCCCGCGGCCGCTGCCCGCTGCCTGCCCGACGCCTCGCCGCCACAACCGACAAGCTTGCATGCGCGCGCGCGTGTGCGCGTGTGTGCGTGTGCGTGTGCGTGTGTGTGTGTGTGTGTGTGTGTGTTGTGTGTGTGTGTGTGTGTGTGTGTGTGTGTGTGTGTGTGTGTGTGTGTGTGTGTGCGTGCGTGCGTGCGTGCGTGTGCGTGCGTGCGTGCGCGAGCGTGCGTGCGTGCGTGCGTGCGTGCGTGCGTGCGTGCGCGCGTGCGCTCTGCAAAGGGTGCGGGTTGCAGCTGGCACCATGGGGGGCACCCAGGGGGGCGGGCGGGGACCTCCACAGAGCTCTCCGCCGCGCCCCGAGGCGGCCCGACGATGACGGCGTGGTACCCCCACGGGACCCAGCGGCGCCGCTCGCAAGCCACACCCCGGCGTAACCGCACCCTTTGCAATCGCCGAGTGTGGGAGGAGGACCACCTCCGCGCCGGGCTGCGCCCGCCCTCCCTCTTCGAACTCTGTGTCCTGGCCTCCCTGTGCAGTTGCGCGCGTGGCCGTGGCGCCCAGCGAGGTATGTGAGGAGGCCACGCGCAGAGGGGGGGCAGGGGGAGGGAGGAAGGCTTCTCAGAAGGAAGCTGCTCCTTAGAAGGCGTGGGACTTACCCACAGATGCAAGGCTAGCGCCTTCTAAGAAGCATCCTCCTTCTGAGAGCCCTGCCCCCCTCCCCCTACCACCTTGTGCGCGCCGCCATGTGAGGAGGCGGCGCAATTTCGGATCCTGGTGTCACTCGTCAGGGGCCCATGAAGCGCGACCTGGGTCTCCAACTGAAGGCGGCCACACCGACCAATCACGACGACGACGACGACGACGACGGCGGCGGCGGCGGCGGCGGCATGCCCGTCGACGACATCCAGCGCTGCCCTTTTTGTCGGCGCCAAGGCCTTTCGGCCGCTGGCCTCGGAAGTCGCTCCAGACCGCACGGATGAACCAGCCCGACCGAACCTCACGATCTGGCCGAAGTCAGAGGACCCCGTCCCGCTCGTACGGGCCGGAATCACAGCACGTATCAGCGATCAGCGATCGTTTGCTCGACACTCGTAGTTTCACATCAAAGAACATGTTCCACATGATCGCGGGCCCACCTCTACACGCTGGAATCGTAACGGCGCTCCGCAACACCCGAAGATGCTCCCTGCCGAAACGAAAATAATATGAGACCTATCCATGTTGCCGCGATAAGAAAAAACAATACACAGTGCAGGATGGGCAACCGCTTACGCTCGCTGGCAACCACTGTACAACACCATGCGCGAAGGCGATGAATGCGTGGACCCGTAAGGAAACTTGCGACAAAGGTGATGCCGCGAACGAAAGGGCGCAGGCGTGAAGAAAGGGGGTAACGTGGGCAGACTAAGAATGGACACGCGAAGGTAGTAAGGATGTCCCACGAACGCAGCCGAAATGTCTACGGCCATCTCTTGCGTGAACATTGCCCGCCGAGCGGGTGTGACTGCGTTGTGGGTGCAAGGGTGAACGCTCGCCAGAAGTGACCAGAATGCGCAAGGCGCCGCTGAAGGCGCCAAGATGCACAACTGCGCGCAAAGCCCAAACTCATCTCAGGAACTGGCGAGCCCAAAGCAGCAACTCCGAAGTGTGCGGACTACGCCAATGCACTGGCCCGAACTCTCAACCGCTTGACCCTTCCCCCAGCCTGCAGCAAGTGCAACATGTGACCCCAGTTGTGCCGTCTAGAGAGGTTGTAACTGCTCAAGAGGGGCAGGAGGAACTCTGAAGAAAATTGAGAGGCGCTGGACTCCAGCCGTGTGTAGAGCCATACATTCGCGCCAAGGCGTCGCGACCTCTAAAAACACGTCCTTGCACGCCTGACGCAGTACCTCCGTCACTGCATGTCCGCTCCAAGCTCCACGGTGGCGCCAGAGGCACAGAACTCAAGAAGCCGCAACTGCCCCGACGGATGCTCAGGCCGCCTCGTTTCGCAGCAGAGCGAGTGGGGACAACGGCAACACAAAATCGGTCCGCCGGACCCCTGACGGGGCCCGAGCGTACCAATTTGCCGAGCTGCGTCCAGTCGTGTTGGCCAAAGGGCCCCCCCGAAGGCCAACTACCGCTGTCTCAACTCGCCCTCCTTTGATGTTTGCCAGACTGCCTGCCTGGGACACGCGTGCCCCCCTTAAAAAACGCTGCCGCGCGGCCCGTGCTCGCCTCGTGGCGCTGCAGGCGCGAGCCTGTGCCGGCCACTCTGCGAAACCTCGGGCAGCTCGCTTGAGCACTCGGTGGACTCTCGGGGTGTGATCGAGCCGCATGTCGTGTCGACCATGGCGTTAATTTCTGCCACCGTGTGGACCGTTCAACCTTGAACGAGGGGCCGCTTCCGAAACGTCACGTCGTTCAGCATCGACCGACTCTGGGTCGGCGACGGCGTTCGGCGTCGAACGCCGGCGGCGAGGTCGCCGCCGGTCGGCACGACGCGAACCTACCGTGCCACCGAAATCAGCTGAAGCTCCGCTCGCTCTGCCAGTATCGGCAGGGATGCCGCGGCAGCGGTGCTCGGGAAGACTTCTATGCAGATGAGGAGGAGAAGGAGGAGGAAGAGGAGGAGGAGGGAGCGGAGGAACATGAGAGGGTGGGCTGCACTGGCAAGTTAACTCAACCAAGGAGCTTGCAATTAAACCCCTATCGACCCCAAGCGGCCAATACTACCATCCAACACCACATGAGGTGGTAAGGCAAACGATCGAACCGCGAAGATTGGCCCGATCAGAGATAACAGGCCAGCCGTCCTTCTATGCCCTTTCAACGTTTTCGGGCCACTCCTGCCCATCGCCGAAGCCAACGCAGTTCGATGGAAACGTCGATCGGCTCCCCACGATCGACGACTGGCCGATTGCAATCCGATTGCGAGATAAGGCGCCCGCCCAATCCAAGGTACGCCTGACTGCGCTGAAATTGGTCTCCTCTTCCACCGGCGACATCTCCGGGCTGTCGTCGTCAGAGCTGGCTTGGGACTGCCGTCTCTGGCTCTCCTTCGCCCTGTTCGTCTTCCATCGCGCGCCCAGGCCTGCTCTCAGCTTGTCGTGCCACCAGGAATCGAGGTTCAACTCTCTGTCCACGTCGATCTCCTTGTCGAGGAGATCCGACTGCTCCAGGTTGGTCCACGAGCCAAGGCCCAGCAGGCTAAACACGCTGATCCGCAGCGCCCTCGCGATCTCGTCCGCCTCGGCGTCGGCCGCCACCTTCTGCCGCGCCCGCTGGACCCAGCCGTCGTCGTAGACGTGGAAGTCGAACAGCTGCTGAGAAGGCATGTCGATGACGAAGATATGGGTGTTGTCCTCCTTGCCACTGCTCGGAGGCCCACTTCCCCCGTGCCTTCTTCGGTTTCGCGCGCGCCTTGTTCCGCAAGATGACCCAAGATGCTCCCAGATGGCCTAGATTTTCTGGCGCTGGCCTCGTCGAGAACACGTGCACGCGTTCGAACGATGCCATGCCTCCTGCAGCCGATGGCCAGCGGTTGTGGGAGACGACTGGAGGTAGTGGGAGATAGTGGGAGTCAACGGCGGATGATGGGAGACAATGGAAGATAACGTCGCCCGGCCGATTCTGGATCCAGCAGCGTACCTACTAGTCCCTTAGAACACCTATGAATGTAGATCGGAGGTGAGGGGGTGAGATCGAAGTGGAACGGAGAGCCCCCATACCGGGAAATCGGTTTCGGTTTCGTGTTCGTGCGTGCCGTGCGTGCGGGCGAGACGAAGCTGCGTGGGCGGGCGAGAAGTGTCCCGCCTCTTGCTGAGGCGCGGCCGGACCAATTGTTTCCTGTCCGGGGCCGGTGGCGCGCGGAGTCCCGCTGGTGTTCCGCCGGTGTCCCGTCGGTGTCCCGATGATGATGATGAGGATGTTGATGATGATGATGGCCATGGCGGTGATGATGATGGTGTCCCGGTGATGATGATGATGATGATGATGATGATGATGATGATGATCTTGATGATGCTGATGTTGCTGATGATGACGGTGTCCCGATAATGATGATGATGATGATGATGATGATGATGATGATGATGATGATGTTGATGATCCTGATCACGTTGATGATGATGATGAGATAATGATGATGATGATGATGATGAAGATGATGATGAACGTGTCCCGATGATGATGATGTTGATGATGATGCTGTTGATGATGATGATGGTGTCCCGATGATGACGATGGTGATGATGACGGTGAGGGTGTCCCGATGATGATGATGATGTTGATGATGAGGGTGATGATGATGATTTTGATGATGGTGGCCAGATGATGATGACGATGCTGATGTTGATGCTGATGATTTTGTCCCGATGAGATAATGATGATGGTGATCCTGATCATGGTGACGATGATGATGATGGTGTCCCGATGATGATGTTGATGAGGATGATGTTGCTGATGATGATGCTGATGATGTTGTTCATGATGATGATGATGAGATGATGATGGTGATGATGGTGGTGTTCCGATGATGATGATGATGGTGTCCTGATGATGATGATGCTGATGATGATGATGGTGACGACGATGGTATCCCGATGATGATGATGATGATGGTGATGTTAATGATGATGGTGATGAGGTGATGATGATGGTGTCCCGATGATGATGATGCTGATGATGATGTTGATGACGTTGATGACGATGCTGTTGATGATGATGATGATGGCGTTGATTGTGAGATCGATTGTGATATCGATAGTGGGATCGGTAGTGAGACATAATGTGAGATAGATTGTGAGATCGATAGTGAGATCGATAGTGATATCGATTGTGAGATCGATAGTCAGATCGATTGTGAGATCGATCGAATGAAATATATCGAATGAGATCGATTGTGAGATCGATCGAGTTAGATCGATCGAGCGAGACCGATCGTGAGATCGATAGTGAGATCGATAGTGAGACCGATCGAGTGAGACGTTGATTGCTCCCCCCCGAACCTCCTTATCATCCGAAAGGTGGTCGTATAGGTACGTTTATACATCCGTAAATATACACCTAGAGAGACAGAGAGCGAGAGAGATAATCCTTACAGAGAAGCTGCTAAGGGACAACATGTGGACGAATTCTTAGTCGAGCTTTGAAAGTCCTACGGTGCCTCAGAACTTCGGCGGATCCCTGGGGCTTTCGGGGGGTAAGGCCTTTCTACTGGGCACCCGCTGGCAAGCCGATTTCATACTTGGTGTGCTTACTGTGCCTCTTGCCTTGCCGCGTCCTCCACCATTTTCTGCATCTCCTTCCTGCTCAACCGACCTCCAACCCCTCTCGCTTCTTCAAAAGGCTGGCCTGGCCATACATCCGGGGAGTTCCGTTTGGGAGGGTTCGAGCATTATCAAACATGGGAGGACTTGCGTTCCTCAGCCAGATCAAGCTCTTCGTCTGGCCTTGTTGGAGCCCTCCTAGAGCCATCTTGGGCTCTCCGACGCCCTTTTCAGCTCTCCTGGGGCCGTCCTGGAATTCTCGTGGGGCATCTCGGTGATCTAGTGACCATAGGAAGGCCAGTTTATGCGATCTTAGAGCCCAGAGGGGGTGAGGAGGGAGAAGACAGAGCAGAAAAGTAGCCTGACGACGGACCCAACCATATGCAGCTGCGGGTACCGCATTGTGGGTACCGCTTTTGGTGGAGCTCCCTGTGGGGCCACGAACCGCGTAAAGGGTGTGCCAAAATGGGTTGCGGTCCCCGCATGCGGCCCAGGCCACGAACCGTGTGAAGGGTGTGTGCCAAAATGGGTGGCGGCCCCGCATGCGGCCTGTGCCGCTGGGGCCTTCGGTGGAGCTCCCTGTGGGGCCACGAACTGTGCGAGGGGTGTGCCAAAATGAGTGCGGTCCCCGCATGCAAACTGTGCCACTGGGGCCTTCGGTGGAGCTCCCTGTGGGGCCACGAACAGTGTGAAGGGTGTGCCAAAATGGGTGGCGGTCCCCGCATGCAAACTCTGCCACTGGGGCCTTCGGTGGAGCTCCCTGTGGGGCCACGAACCGTGCGAGGGGTGTGCCAAAATGGGTGGCGGTCCCCGCGTGCGGCCTGTGCCACTTGTGCCTTCGGTAGAGCTCCCGGCGGGGCCACGAGCCGTGTGAGTGGTGTGCCAAAATGGGTGCGGTCCCCGCGTGCGGCCTGTGCCTCTGGGGCCTTCGGTGGAACTCCCCGTGGGGCCACGAGCCGTCTAAAAAATGTGCCAAACTTGGTGACGGTGCCCGAGTGCGGCCTGTGCCACCGGGGCCTTCGGTGGAGCTCCCTGTGGGGCCACGAACCGTGTGAAGGGTGTGCCAAAATTGGTGGCAGTCCCCGCATGCGGCCTGTGCCACTTGTGCCTCCAATGGAGCTCCCTCTGGGGCCACGAGCCGTGTGAGTGGTGTGCCAAAATGGGTGCGGTCCCCGCGTGCAGCCTGTGCCACTGGGACCTTCGGTGGAGCTCCCTGCGGGGCCACGAACCGTGTGAGGGGTGTGCCAAAATGGGCGCGGTCCCCACATGCGGCCTGTGCCACGGGAGGAGGAGTGAGGAGGAGGTGACGCGGGGCGCTGTCTCCTCCAATCGAGGACCCAACACCACAGGATGGTTGGCAACAACTCAAGTTCCCCCCATTCCTGGCACATCACCAGTACCTCGCGGAGGAGGAGGAGAAAGGGGAGGAGGAGTGAGGAGGTGACGCGGGGCGCTGTCTCTTCGAAACAAGGACCCAACACCACAGCATGGTTGGGAAGAAGGGGATACAGAAAAGGCAATAGAGATGTACGGGGGAGGGTGGGATATGGAGGATGGGCGGAGTGACCGGAATCTCGAGAGGGATCCCGACTTGTTCGGGCGAGGCGGAGGTCACCTTACATCATCTTGGAACTTCTGGGAAGCGTCTTTGAAACTCGGATCCATAAGCTTCAACACAGAGTGCCCAAATCTTGGAATGGGCCTCCCAAGCCTGGCACCGATCTCGCTCTTGATTCGGACTGAATTTGGGCGTATGGCACTCGGAACGCCGATCGCCTCGGTCTTCTCCCTGCAACCCCAGACCTCCGACGTCATGACTTTTTGCCAACGTCGACCACTAGAGGTCCAGACCCACTCCCCAAGACCAACTGTTCATCCTCAATATTTTTTGTCCGGTCCCGGGACCTGGCAAGGACCCCGAAGGCCGAGCACCGCTGACCACATCGCGTCGTGCTTTCTTCGCGGCTCCAGGGGGATCTCCTGAAGCCCGCCTGCGGCCTCTCGTGACCATCTTGGTTGGGGTCACATTGGGGCCCCTCGAGCCCTGGTCCCTCTTGGACTCTCTCTTGTGGATTGCTGCCCGCCTCGGAGTCGAGAGAAGCTTGGCGCACGGCGCGGCCTCTACGCCGTGTTACTGCTGAAAGCTCTCCTCGGCGCTGCTGTGGCTCTTGTGAAGCCGTCTCGGGCGTTGCTTGAGGAGAGGCGATAAATGGGAGAGGGAGAGTCGTGCTCTTGTCCCCCCTCTTAGGGCAAAAAAGGTGCAGCTTTTTCTTCACACCCGATTTCTCAGGAGGCGACGGTCGGGGCGAATATCCCAGAGGGGATCAATACATGTATCCAAGAACGCTGGTGGTCCATGTCTTCGGCGAGGCTCCCAGAGGGATGCGCGTAATGCCCTTGGGCCATTCGCCCCTATCGTCGCCTCTGGCGTATCGCCGCCGCCCAATGCGCAACGCCCGACCGCCCGTGGCCATCCTCGGACCGGCACGTGGCCGGCCGCGAAGAGCCATCGAGATGCCCGAGGGGTCCAGGGGTTCACGAACCAGCGATGTCAAATACGACGCATTCTGCCCGCACCCAAAATTATGTCGGGCGTGTCCCCCTGCGGGGGGATTTTCGACGAAAAATGAAAAATACCCCCGAAATAACCCCAAAAGGTAACAAAAATACTCAAAAAATAGTCCCCAGACTATTTTTGGACTAATTTTTAGTGTATTTTTTATTTTTCGTCGAAAATCCTCCTGTAGGGGGACAGGCCCGACTTAAACCCAACACGATCCAACACGAACGATTGCGCGAAATACTGCGCACAATTTTGAAGCCCCTTTTGCAAATGACCCCTTGGCCCGGATCCGACCAGGGCCTGCGCAGACCTGGGACATCTTCAGCAGATTACCGAAGTACCTTTCGAGTCTGAAAACAACTACATAATCGACTTACGCAAATTGGGCATGTTCGTAGAAATGCAACCGCCGTGTAACAGTTTAGTACATCTACGAGCCGTGGATATGTGTCTCGAACATTCGACGGACAAAACAATTCAGGGGTAGCACAACAACTCTGTGGCCGATCTGCTGCTCGAAATCTCCCCCAGTGGTCGGAAATTGTGGCACAGTATGCCGCCCCGGAGGAGCGGATCATTAATGTGTCGCTCGTCTCCATGGGGCGGGGGGCTCGGAAAGGCTCGGGGATGGACAGACCCCCCTTTAGTAAAACGTGGTTTAGTGAAAACGACTTCGGGCCCAAACCTGGCGGGCGCAAGCCTGGAAAATAACGGCCACGGCGCCCTCTCGACAACCGAAAACGGACAATTCACTAATCGACGTGTCACTGTTGGGGGGCCTGTCAACCCCCGAAAGGCTCGGGATGTTTACATGTGGGGACCTAGAAGTGGATAGCGTGTCGCGCCCAGGCGTGGTGGGGCAAAACCGGCGGCGCGACGCGCTGTCCCCACATCCCCGGCCGTACGAGCAAGCACACCGGAGACAGCAGCGGGAGACGTGAAAACCCACGGACCCGTCGCGTCGCCCAGCCCTCGGAGCAATTGGAAGCACAACGCACGCCCACGTCGGAACGCACAGGGGGGAATACACCGAGTGGCTCGGTGTACTCCCCCCTGTCCGGCAGAGGGAGGGTGGGAATGACACCATCCCGCGGCTCTAAATGGGTTGCAGTGGGGTTCGCGGGGGCAGTTGTGGGGAACCATCTAAGCATCCAGGGCCAGTGCGGGCGGATGTTGAAGATGAGGTGGGCTGGCTTTGGGATCTTCTTGGACTGTCGGCTTCTGGGGAGCCTCTTTTGGGAATCTCTTGGGAATCCGAGGGGGAGTTCTTCTTGGCGCGTTTTGAGGCTCCGTGCGGGCCTCCTTCGGCCGTCCTGATGCTCGCTTGAGCTATTTTAGGTCTCTCTGAGACCCCTCACGAGGCTGCCTTGGGCCGTCTCGGGGTCCTACAGGGGTGCTTCGGGACGGTCGTGGGGTCGTACTCGGGCGTTGCGACGCCATCTCGGGGTCCTCCGCAGCGAACACGAACCCATCTGGAACAGAAGCGCCTGTTGACATTTCTTTTTAAGCAAGAAAACTTAGAATGGCTTGCCAGTTGGGGCTGCCTGGAGCCACTCTTGGGGGTTCTGGGAACCTCGCTTGAGGCTGCGTTGGGTCTGTTGGGTCATCCTGGAATCATCTTGGAACGTCTTGCGCATTCCGAACCGTCTCGGCGCCAACCCGGGCGGCCTCCTGAACCGCGTTGGTAATCTTTTGAGGGCCTCAGGAGGTTTCAAAAGGGCTCCCAAACCGCAGGTGGACGCCGGGCCCAACGTCGGCCTGTCCAGGAGCAGGGGTAGGAGGAGGGGGAGGGGTAGGAGGAGGGGGAGGGGGGAGGAGGAGGAGGAGGAGAGGAGGAAGAGGGGGAGGAGAAGAGGAGGAGGAGGAGGAGGAGGAGGAGGAGGAGGAGGAGGAGGAGGAGGAGGAGGAGGAGGAGGGGGAGGAGGAGGAGGAGGAGGAGGAGGAGGAGGGGGAGGAGGAGGAGGAGGAGGAGGAGGACGCACGGGTCCTGTTTGTCCCTCCCAACAAAAACTGCGCCACCGCCGGGCCTGGGACCTGAGGGCCGGCTATCTGTTCCGCCGGCTCCTTTTTGGGGGCAAACGGCTACGAGGTTTTTCTACTGGACTGCTGTCGTCGTGTCTCTGCTGTGTCTGCTGCTGCCAACCCAAATGTGTTGGGCACTCCTGCCTCCCGCCTCCTCACTTCCACCCTCGACTGTGTTGTGTATATATATATATATATATGTATGTGTATGTTGATATTTCTCTGTCTGTCTGTCTCGATATGCCTCTCTCTCTCTCTCGCAACATACATGTAAGTATGAACATCTATTCATATATGCATATGTATACCTGTACGACCACCCTTCGGGCGATAAGGAGTTTTGGGGGAAGGGAAAACCAGCTGACGACAACTGCGATGACTTTGATGGCGACGATGCTGGCGTTGCGCTTGCGAAACGGCGACGATGCACGATGACGCTGATGGCGACGAATATACGATGAATGCTGATGGTAAATCCATGCGCCACTGCCGCGCGCTCTTCTCCCAAGCGCGTTTGCTCACCTCCGGCTCCCTCGAGTCTGGCATGAAGGGCCTGGCGATATGCCCCGCCACCGCATCAGAATCCCCGCTCCGCGCACGTCTCCCGGTGCTGCGCCGAGCGCTCCCACTCATCCCATTCACACAACCCCTGAGGCAGCATCACAACTGGGGCGAGGCCGCGAAGATCATGAGACCTGAACGTCGATGCGCTGGAACCTCACGAGCTACTGCTCGCTCCTGCAAGTGGCTCGCCCAAGCCTCCCCGCGCGGCGCGTGGTGCGTCCAATCCCGGCGCGGCAGCCCCGCGCCTTGAACCATACGCCTTTGATTACGAGGGCCTCTTGGGGTTCTCTTCAGGGCCTCTCCAGAACCTCTTCGTTCTTGACGCTCAGAGCGGGCGCTCTCCGTGAGCCGCGCCGCGACCGATCTCACGATCGATCTCACAATCGATCTCACCATCGATCTCACGATCGATCTCGCGAACACGACCGATCACGCAATCGATCTCGATATCGATCTCACAACTGATCTCACAAACTACCATCGAGACACCACGGCTGGACACCCAGAGCCACCGTCGGGGCACCCAACGCCGCCGACGGGGCACCCACCGCCACCGACGGGGCACTCCAAGCACCCGCGAGCACACCAGGGGGGGGGTCCAACGGCTCCACGGCCCCTAGCCACGCCGGCATCATTCCTGTCGCGCGCCCACGCAGCATCGCCTCGCCCGCACACACTACACGAGCACGAAACCGAAACCGATCTCCGTGTGGGGGGCTCTCCGTTCCACTTCGATCTTAACCCCCAACCTCCGATGTAGATACTGATATCACTATATCCGATCTCAAACAGCTCCTGTGCTGGCCTTAGGCTGTGGTAGCATCTCTCACACTATCAATGGCAGAGCTATGTTTGGAGGAGACGTTGGCCAAAATGGGAATATTCTTCTAAACCCAGTCCTCCCACACAGGGTTCACATTCGCCTGAATGGTAGCAGACTTCCACACGTCGGAGCCCATGGCGACGACCACATACGGATCAGTGGTGCGCTCTCCTGTCCACATTGTGCTCAACTGCCAATCAGTGCCCTGCAACCCCTCAGCCTCAAGGACCGTGACCTTCAGCAGGCCTCTGGGCTTCGGGCGCGCGAGCTCGAAAGCTTCGCCCTCTGAGCACTTGAGCTCGATGGGAAAGCGCGCAGGTAACACGATGATCTTAGCCTCAGTGTCCAGCCGATCACAGAGACGATCACTGAGCAACAGAAAACAACACAACCACAAACTTTCGAAGGTCCGCGTGTAATTCTTTGGATCGGGGGTGGGTCCCCGCAGAGGCACCGCCAACGGGGAGCCCAGCGCCGACCCAAGAAATGTGTGCAGATCTTCAGAAGTTTATGGTTCTGACATTTTTCGCATTCGAGATCACATCCTCGGATCGCGCATCCTGGTCACAATCCTGTTCACAACTGGTGTCGCACGTGTCAGAAGGTGACCGCGTGGCATGCAATCCTGATCACGATAGCAGGCGGGCCAATCACGTCCAAAACGATCACGCGGTTCGCGATGGCATCCTGCGATCGCGATCGAGAGGCAGGTAAGGTGTCACCAATTGCTCACGTATAACTTTCTTTATGATGTCCTCCAGGAGCTCGGATGACCCGAACGAGTGGATCATGCCTTTCCACTTCATCTTGATATCCAAGGGCTCATTGAAAAACATTGAAAAACCAGAAAAGAATGGCGGCCGTGGCAACAGACCACGGAAGCTCATGAAGAATGCTGCATTCAAAGATAGGTCTTGGACCCCTAGCGTAGCAGCACCGAGATTAATTGATATGTTCGTCTCACCTTGCCACGTGGCATTGATCTTGAGGTCGATCCAATTTCCGAATCCACCTGGCGCTGACACCTCTACCGATTCACATTCGATTGCCTTCATACCAACCTCGCAAGGATCCACAGTAATGCCTTGCAGAAATCTCGGGAGCTTCGATTTAATCATTGGTATTATCCGCCTCTGCGCTTGCAACGGTCGGTCTGTCGAGCCGTGTTGACCCGTCTGCTTCGCTTCCGGTGCAGCAGAAAACCGTCGTTGAAACTGTTTGATCTGTCTCAAATAATGTCACGTGCCCGATGACACACCCTGCTCGCACAGATCCTCTTGGGACCATGGTATCTTTTTCTGGCAAGTATTGTGTCGGACACCTTTGGGGTCGCCTGGGGTCGCTCAGGGGTATCTCGAACAGACCCGTTGCTCTAAATTTCGGTCTTCTTGGGGGCAAACTGACGCCATGTAGAAATCATGCCAGTATCATGCGAGGATCACGGGGTTCTCTTGGAGTCGTCCTGAGGTCATTGTCGGGTCGCTTTGAGGCAATCTTGGAACCATCTTGGGGTCGTGAAGTCGCCTTGCCATCTTGGGACCGTCTGAAGGCCTTGCGTGTTTCCACTTTTTTTTGTTGTTGCGGCCAAGTAGTTGAGCCTCTCCCGACGCATTGCGCCCGACATAGGTTGGGCTTGCCTTGACGGTTCTTCTTGTCTGCTAAATGAGTCATTCCCTACCAGCACCCTGGGCTGGTGTCCCTCCCTAGTCGCTCCTGTGAGCTCCCTTGTGCTTCTCCTGTGCGTGCCCGCTCGCTTCCAGCGTACACCCCGTGGACAACGCTGTTGCCAAGAACCTGCAAGCGTGCCTGCCCCGGTTGAAGGAAAACTCTCCGACAACAACGCCGGATCAAGAAAGAATCAAATTTCTCTCTCAACCCCCTAGCCTTCACACTGGCAAGTATTGCATTCGAGATATTGGGCGCAAGATTTGTCTGGACCCGCTTGTTCGCGAACGCTTGTTCAGGATTGCGTAAGGCCGGGGGCGGAGGGGGGTCATGCGAAGTGGCTCCTGAATGTTTGTTGAACAGCTTTTTCCTTCAACGGTCGCTATCGGGGGGATGCACTGAAAGGTGGGGAAGGCTCAGAGGTGGGGGTCCAGGAACATCGCTCTAAACGGCTCGTGGAATAAGAGAATGGGATCATCCAGCAAATCGCGATCCCCGGACCCTGGCAGGAAGAGCCCTCCCTTTGCGAGCCCCCGATGCGAGCGTGCCTGCTCACTCCCGGCGCGCATCGCTTCGCCGGCGGTGCTGCCGGGAAGCTCACTCCAAGCATGCCCGCTGACCTCTGGCGCACGCCGTGCTGCCAAGCGCTGCCGCCGAGAAGTTGGCCGAGAAGCTCACGCCGAGCGCGCCTGCTCGCGTGCGCACGCCGTCCTGCTGGCGCTCTCGTCTGGAGTGTGGAGTGCTCTCCCCGTCTGCTTCTTTCGGCTTGGGCGAGCCTTCATGGGCGCCTCTGTGGACCTCGGTGAATTCGGTGGACGTCGTCCAGATTTCGACCAACCCTCTTTGCCCGTTCGTCCAGACTTCGCCCAAACTGTGTTCAGATTTCGTCTGGATGTCGACCACGTCCAACGAAACCTGGACGCAATCCTTGAACCCGCAAAGAATATGTTGGCACCCTCTGAGGCTCTCATGAGGGATCGCACAACTGGAGTGTTCTCCCTGTTTGCTTCTTTCTGGTGTTGCCAAAGGTGTCCCTGGCCCACGATGGCCCCAGGATCTCCAAGGAAGCCCCCGCGGCCTCCCCCTGAGGCCGAAACGGGCATCAGGGTCTCCAACACGCTGCGAACATCTGGGGGCATCTTGGGCCAGAACCAGAACATCTGGGGACACCCATGGTCCAGGACCCCTTCTGGCAATGCCCGAGTCTTCGGTCTCTCTCTCTCTCTCTCTCTCCCCTCCTCTCTCTCTCTTTCCCACGACAGGTGCCCCGAAAGCTTCTGGTCGGCCGGGGCGATGCGCCATGCGACAGTGCCGGCGCGGCCCCTTCGGGCCGCATGATGACATACTCCTCCTGGTCCTCCTCTTCCTCCTCCTCCTCCTCCTCCTCCTCCTCCGCCTCCGCCTCCTCCTCCTCCTCCACCTCCTCCTCCTCCTCCGCCTCCTCCTCCTCCTCCTCCTCCTTCTCCTCCTCCTCCTCCTCCTCCTCCTCTCTAACGACAAGTGCCCTGGGCAAACGTCTCCCTCCCGAGCTCGTCCCGCACGGGACGGGCACGCGAGTGCCTCGCGTGGCCCCCCCAAGCGTGCCCGCTCGCTTCCGGCGCGCCTCGCGCGGCCACCGTCGACTCCACGCGTGCCCGCTCGCTCCGGGCCCCCGGTCGATGCTCGAGCGCTCTTGGCGCGCAGCTTGGCAGCCAGCCCCGGGGGGGAAGTGAGAGGGGGCCGGCCTTCTTAGGGGGCGGCGGGGTTTCTCAGAAGACCTCGCGCCTTCTGGCAATAGCCGCCCCTGTCTGCGGAGACGGCCCAGAGACAGCCCCAGAAGGCCCGAGGTCTCCCGAGCCTTCTCAGAAAACCCGCCGCCTCTGCATTCCCGCCCTGGGTTCGCCGCCGACGATGGGGACGCACGAGGATACCAATACCGTTACTTCCCCGAGATCTCCCAGTGTGCGCTCTGACCAAAACCTCGTGGCGAATCCGGCGGTGGCGGACAAAGGCCTCCCGTGTGTTTTTACCTAACAGCGAAGACTGATAGGTTTCTAGTGGTGCCAAAAGAGAGCAGCAGATGACTCCACAGGGGGGTCGGGGCGGGACCCGGGGCGGCTGCCGCCGAAGCCGAAATCGTTTGGGACATCTTCGCAAAATCGCTCTTGGCGCTCCCAGAGCTCCATTCCCCGGCCACATTTTGAATGCCCGGAACCAACTGTAAGCCACTTCGTGGTCTTCGAGTTCCCAGAACTCCATTCCCGGGCCACATTTTGGATGCCCGGAGCCAACTGTAGGCCACTTCGTGGTCTTCGAGTTCCCAGAACTCCGTTCCTGGGCATGATTTTAAATGCCCGGAGCCAACTGTAGGCAACTTCGTGTTCTTCGAATTCCCAGAACTCTATTCCCGGGCCACATTTTGAATGCTGAGGCAGGCTGATGCTGAGGCTGAGGCAGGCTGAGGATGAGGCAGGCTGAGGCTGAGGCCGAGGCTGAAGGCAGACCGAGGCTGAGGCTGAAGCAGGCTGAGGCTGAGGCTGAGGCAGGCTGAGGCTGAGGCTGAGGCAGGCTGATGCTGAGGCAGGCTGAGGCTGAGGCTGAGGCTGATGCAGGCTGAGGCTGAGGCAGCCTGAGGCTGACGCCGAGGCTGAAGGCAGACTGAGGCTGAGGCTGAGGCAGGCTGAGGCTGAGGCTGAGGCAGGCTGAGGCTGAGAAAGGCTGAGGCTGAGGCTGAGGCAGGCTGAGGCTGAGGCCGTGACTGTGACTGCCGTTGCCACGGCGACTGTCATCGCGAATGCGACTACGACTGCGAGAACAGCAGAATTTACAACTGGATTCTCATGTGAATCTTAAGGGGAATGTTTCCAGATATGCTCCTACACATCGCTGGTCGGTTGCTTTGCCGGGATATTTTTTTTGGGGGGGGGGGGTGGGGGGGGCGCCCGCTCGGGCAGGGCGTGGTGCCCCCCGCAGTGGCCAGGCGCGGCCGGCCTGGCAGGTGGGCGCCAGGGGTGGTGAGCGGCCACGTCCCCGCTCCTTGTCGTCGTCCCCTCCTCCCCCTCCTCCTCCTCCTCCTCCTCCTCCTCCTCCTGCTCCTCCTCCTCTCCTCCTCCTCCTCCTCCTGCTCCTGCTCCTGCTCCTGCTCCTGCTCCTGCTCCTCCTCCTCCTCCTCCTCCTCCTCCTCCTCCTCCTCCTCCTCTCTCTCTCTCTCTATTTCTCCATCTGATGGCAATTAAATGTTGCTGCCGCTCCCAAGGGGTAGAACACTGCGAGGCGACGAGGAACCGAGGAAGCCCGCCGCCAGAGCCCCGCAGGGGCCAGACGCAAAACGAGCTGAACCCGGCAAGGCGACGAGGGCAACAAGGGAGCAAAACGAGTCGAATCCAGCACCCACACTATCCAGCAAGGCGGTCGCCCCTCACACCTCGTCGGTCTCGCGCAGGCGCTGCTGCCTGCGGAGCTATCCTGGAGTGCTTCTGGCCTATGGGTCGAGCCACTCGACCATGATCGTCCAGGTGCCGCCGGAATGCACGAGCTTCACGAATCCGAGCGTGGAGACTTGGCCAACGAAGGTATGGGCATGCTGTGTAAAATGGCGAGCGGGTCATGGCTCTCGCAATGAATCTGGCGACAAGTCAAGCAATGGCGACGTAGCAGCTCGAAAGATACAGTGGTCTCGCATTTCAAACGTTGGCCCTGGCTGCCACAATGTTGACGGAAGACGCCCATGAAATCGGCGAGAAACACATACTCATCGACGGCCTCCTTTGCTGGCTGTTCCACGCACTGCGGCTGATGACGGTTGGCTGCTTCTCGCACTGTAGCTAACAACGGCTCCTCGCACGAAGCCCGCTGCCACTGCCGTCCGTTCTCGCGCGAGCAGGCACCAGTACTGTAGCTGATGACGCCTGGCTGCATCGAGGCCTCAACGCATGGCTGCCTCTCGCGCTCGAGCTGGTGACGCCTGGCTGCTTCTCGCTTTGTCGCTGGTGGCTCCATCTTGCACGAAGCCCGCTGCCACTGCCGTTCGTTCTCGCACGAGCTGGTCCCAGTGTTGTATCTGATGGCGCCTGGCTGCATTGATGCCTCCACGTCTGATTTGCTTCTTGCGCTGCAGCTGATGACGTCTGGCTGCTTCTGACTCTGTGGCTGGTGACGCAGTCTTGCGCGAAGTTTGCTGCCACTGCCGTAAACATCTCGCACGAGCTGGCCCCAGTAATGTAGCAGCTGACTTCTGTCTGCATCACGGCCTCACCGTATGGCTGCCACTCGCGCTCTAGCCGATGACGTCTGGCTGCTTCTCGCTTTGTCGCTGGTGACACCTTCTTGCACGAAGCCCGCTGCCACTGCCGTTGATTATCGCACGAGCTGGCCCCAGTGTTGTAGCTGATGGCGCCTGGCTGCATTGATGCCTCCACTTCTGATTGCTGCTTGAGCTGCAACTGATGACGTCTGGCTGCTTCTGACTTCTTGGCGGGTGGCGCAGTCTTGCGCGAAGTTTGCTGCCACTGCCATCCGTTCTCGCACGATCTGCCCCCAGTGCTGTAGCTGATGACGTCTGGCTGCACCGAGGCCTCGACTACAGACTGCCTATAGCGCTCTAGCTGATTACGTCTGGCTGCTTCTAACACTGTAGCTGATGAAGCCTTCTCCCACGAAACCTGCTGCCACTGCTGCCCATTCTCGCACGTCCTGCTTCCGGAGCTGCAGATGATGGCGTTGGTCGGGATGTCTCCCGCTTTCTACTGCCATTGCTGCCCTTTCTCGTATGCGCCTGTCCCTGCACTGCAGCAGCTGGTGTTGGTTGATGCGCCAACTCCCAATCCCTGCTGCAACTGCCGCCCACTCTCGCACATGCTCGCCGCAGCATTGTAGCTGCGTCTGCTTGGTGGGTTGATGCCGAGCCTTGTCTGACGCCACCTTTGCCTGGCGTGCCTTCGCCACTGCTTGAGAGTGCAATCCGCCATCTCGGGCCTTTTTTATAGCCTCGCCAAGGTTGTGCTTACGAGCACCGTTCCAAATGTCGAACGACTCGTGTGCCACCTTCCCGCGAATGAACGCCTTGACTGCACGTACGAGGTAGGTCGGTGTCTCGACGAAGGAATGATCTAGCCTCGAGTGTGAAGTCCAATATACGTTGTCTCTCCATCGTGCCTGAGCTGTCCTGCCCAAGACCGTCGTCCGGGCATCGCACTCCACGAGGGTGCGCACCGCCACCAAAAGTCCTCTTCTCAGCTCAAAGATCACAGTCCCAGACAGCGCGTCGCACATCGGGAGTCAGCCAGTTTGAGCCAAGATGGGAGGAGAACGCTGGAGCCAAAATGGCTACGGATCTCCTCCTCCTCCTCCTCCTTCTCGTTCTCCTCCTTCTCCTCCTCCTCCTCCTCCTCCTCCTCCTCCTCCTCCACGTCGTCGTCGTTGTCGTCGTCCTGCCCCGTCCCACTGGCTTTTATTCACTTGTGTGTGTGTGTGTGTTCTCTCTCCTTATCGCTCACGGTGGGCCTCAAAGCCCCAAGATGGCCTCAAGATGGCCCAAGAGAGCCCCGGGGCGAAGCTCAAGAGGGCCCGAAGGCGGTGAGCCCCGGAGGAACCCAAGAGAGCCTCCCGAGGAAAAAGCCGGTCCCGGGGGGTGCACGTCGCGAAACAATCGCGACGTCGGAGTGGTGGAGACGGAGGGTTGGAGGAGGGGGCGGGGAGGGAGGACTCGCTGGCTCTGCAGGAAGCGCCAGATCTGTACCTCGGGGATGGACAGACCTCCCTTTAGTAAAACGTGGTTTAGTGAGAACGACCTGAGGCCCAAACCTGGCGGGCGCAAGCCTGGAAAAGAACGGCCGCGGCGCCCTCTCGAGAACCGAAGACGGACAATTCACCAATCGACGTGTCACTGCTGGGGGTTCTGCCCCTCCCCCGAGCACCTTCCTTGGCCACTCCGACGCTGGAGGGAGGAGAGGGACGGGGAAAACATGAGGGCCCAGGACTTGGGCGTGGCTTAGCGGGGGGGTCATAAATGAGGGGGTCAGAAACGGTCCCCTTTCGTGCCCCTTTCGGGCCCCTCTGGAGCCCCAGGGGGCTCGTTTAGGTACCGTCTGGGTACCTTTTCGGACCACCCGCGACACCCCCCCATTTATGACCCCTCCATTACGCAACGCCCAAAGGACTTGGCCAGATCGACCTCCGGGGGTGCGCGTCGTGGAGCACCCTCTTCGCCGTCCACTGCCTGGGCCCCAGCAGCGAAGGCGACGAGCGGCCGCCAACAGCGGTTGGGGCCCTTCCAGGCCTCGATGTTTCCTCCTCCTCCTCCTCCTCGTCCTCCTCGTCCTCCTCCTCCTCCTCCTCCTCCTCGTCATCGTCGTCATCGTCGTCATCATCATCATCATCATCATCATCATCATCATCATCATCATCATCATCATCATCATCATCATCATCATCATCATCATCATCATCATCATCATCATCATCATCATCATCATCATCATCATCATCATCATCATCATCATCATCATCATCATCATCATCATCATCATCATCATCATCATCATCATCATCATCATCGTCATCGTCATCATCATCATCATCGTCATCATCATCATCATCATCATCTTCATCATCATCATCATCATCATCATCATCATCTTCATCATCGTCATCATCATCATCATCATCGTCATCGTCATCATCATCATCATCGTCATCATCATCATCATCATCATCTTCATCATCATCATCATCATCATCATCATCATCATCATCCGTTTCTGCCAAAGTCCCAGCGTTCGCGATGTTCCACACGCGCGCAAGAAATGGCTAGCGGCCTCCCACAGGGGGCCCTAGTAAAGGTGGTCGGAAGATCGCGCCGCACCGCCGATGCATGGCCGATGCACCGGCGACGTCGGCGACGCATCGCCGCCGTCGGCGTGGAGAACATCGGGCTCCACATCGATGTACCGGCAATGCGGCACGATCCCCCGCCCCCATTTACTCCGGCCCCAATGGGGCAAGAGAACCGAGAATCGAATCGATTAAAACGGATCGGCGATCGGGTCGACGGAAATCGGAAGCCGAGTCGGGAGAAGTCGGATCGGCGGAAATCGGAAGGCTGGTAAGTAAGCTCCCATGAGAAATCGGAATCAGAATCGGAATCCGAAGTCGAATCGAGTCGGAAGACGTCGAAATCGAATCGAATGGAACCGGAGGGATCGAAACGATCCCAATCAGGAGGCCTGGCATGGTGTGAGAGGGGGTCGGCACTTCAGTGGCACGCACCCGGGGGACCCCCCCGCCCCACAGCCCCCCTCCTCCCTTCCCCCGGGCGCCCGTCCAGGCGCGATGGCGGACTCGCGCGGCAGCGCCACTGGAAGTAATCCTTCGTCAATTCTTCCAGTGCGTGTGCGAACACTGGCCAGAGGATCTTCAGCACATCGGTCACCCACTGTGGCGAAGGAGGGAACTCGATGGAGCGATCTAACAGCTGCTCCGCCATTCTATCGACCTCGGTGTGCACTTTGTACCCGTCGGCCTCGAACTTCCCCTTTATCTTCTTGGCCGCGAATCTAATCAGCGCCGGGTAGAATCTATGGACAAACTCTTGGCTCCATCGGTAATCCCGCTGCTGCATCTTGCGGAGACGCTGGCATTCTTCGGCGTAAGCCTCCTCCTTGCCGACCTGAAGGGAAACTGGGACACACAAAGAGATACACACAGGTAAAAAGGATCCCCCATGTTCTCCCACATCTTCTGGGCTATTTTGTCTTCCCCCCCCCACTTCCCATATTTTCCCATCTCTTCCTGGGAGTCGACGATGAACTGTGTCTGCGCGTTTCCCCCCCTCCCTTCCTGGGAGTCGACGAGGAATTGTGTCTGCGTGTTGCCCCCCCTCCTTGCCGACCTTGCCCTTTAGTCTCCTGACGTTCTCCTTCAGTGCGTCCAGGGCGGCGGCGTCGAAGCGGAGGCCCCCGCCACGCCTCCGCGGCAGCGGCGCGGCCGGCGCCTGCGCCCCTGCGGCTGCTCCTGCCGGGGCTCGGCTACAGTGGGGGCGTTGACCTAAGGATCGTTAAAGGCTTAACGACTTCTGCCGTCCTTCGACTCGCGCTGGAGCGGCCGCGAGTTGCTCCAACTTTCCCTGGAGATCTCTGGATTTGTCTGGATTTACCCGGATGTATCTCGATGTGCCTGGATTTACCTGGATTTATGCCGATTTATCTACATTTACCTGGATCTATCTGGCTCGACTCCCACAAGTCGACTGGCGAAAAGTCGATAAGCCCTTAGGGAAAGGAGCGAGGCCCCTTTCTCCCATAAGTTGAACTTCGATTTCCCGTGGGAAGCCTCAGGAAGACCGAGGGCAAGCTGCAGAACAATCCAGGAACACCGAGCCCCTCCCCAACGACAAAGGCTCCTTCTTCAGGGCCCCGACTGTACACCCGGGCTTCTCGTGTTCGTTTTGCTCTCGCTGTCCCTCGCTCTGTTTTCGCTCCGCCCTCGCGGCAGAACGACGTCAAGACTCCGCGGCGAGGGGAGGGGAGCGAGCAGGAGGAGGCCTCCTCAGAAGGCGGCCGGACTTCTGAGAAGTCCTCGCGCCTCCTGAGAGGCTCCCCGTGTCTTCCGGGACGGCTTTGGAAACTTCTCGGAAGGCAGGGGCTTTCCGAGCCTTCGGGGATGGACAGACCTCCCTTTAGTAAAACGTGGTTTAGTGAGAACGACCTGAGGCCCAAACCTGGCGGGCGCAAGCCTGGAAAATAACGACCGCGGCGCCCTCTCGAGAACCGAAGACGGACAATTCACTAATCGACGTGTCACTGCTGGGGCTTCTGCCCCTCCCCCGAAGCCTTCTCATCACGGCCTGCTCCTTTTCGCTCTCCCCCTCCCCCTCACCGCCGCAAACGGCAACGGCCCACGATTACCAGCCTGGAACATATCCCTATCCCCATGCTGGGCATCCCCTCATCACGATGCCGATCTCAGGGACTCCCTTCTCTTTTGAGGGCGGACCCCTAAGATTCTCATCGCCTTTTGGCGTGTCGATCTTAGGGATAGGGATACGTTCCCAAACCCCCGACGTCGTGATCTTTTCACAACGTCGACCCCCAGAGGTCTGGACCCCTTCCCCGGGACCGGCTTTGCATCCCGAGTCGTTTTTTGACGGTCCCGAGGCCCGGTGAGGACCCCCGGAGGCAGAAAATAACGAAAAACCTCCCGTCGTGATTTTTTCACGACGCCAGGAGGTCTGGGTTCGAGGCTGGCAACACGAGAGATCGCCGGTCGAGCCCCGTGCAGGTCGGGCCCCGGCTCCTGCCCGCGAGCCCGCCCGCGGAGCGGCGAGGGGAGCTGCGCCAGGCCCCGGCGGCAGCGGCGGAGGCGCGGGGCCGGCTGGCCTGAGGATGCCCGGGCTGCGGGGTCGAGCTGGGAGCGGGCGTAGCTCGCGTGCGATGCTCCCAGAGGTCCGATAATTGAGGGATGAAAAAACGGCCCTACCCTGGGTTACAAGTGCGCGGTCCGTAAGCCTCCTGAGAACTCCCAAAGCCTAGAGCCGCCAGGACGCGGCACATCACGCAGGGTTCACCCTGTCAGCCCACAGGAGTTTCAGCGCACAGCGCCTCGTAAACCAGGGTAGGGGCGTTTTTTCTGCCCTTAAGATAATGCAAAATTACTGGAGCGAGCGGTGTGGGCTGTTTTGGCTCTCGAGGGGCCCTCGCCTGGCTTCGGGACCGTGAGACACCGACTCGGGACGGGTCCGGGCCTCGGGGGCCCACGCATCGAACAAAAGTAGGACAGCTGGATGTCTGGGAAGTGGGGACATCGCGTTCGATAGTTTCGCTCCCGCAGCTGCATGAGCGGTGGCATCGTGGCATTACAACCGCATGCTTCTGCTTCAGGGCAGATATCATTGGCAATGCCTGCGATCGGAAGAAGCGCCAACAAAGAACGCACGACCAAACCCTGCTTTCACGGGCGTCCACGATCACGCTGAAACCTTCGCTGTACCAGAACAACGGAATCAACATCGAACACAACGGATTGCCCTGTTTCAGAAAGGTACAAGATCCCCCCCGGCACACTCGTTTCTACTGTTTGTAATTTTACGGCTCGAGCTGACGATTGGAGGTTGGTTGGTGAGTATTTTCTGGTTCGGCGTTTCGACATCGGGCGGAAGGGGGGGCAGGGGGGGGGTCTGGCTCCAGGCCTCTGTTTAGTGCGACTGTTTGCAGCAGTGCGTCCAATGGGGAGACTTCACCTGCTCGAAACAGGCGCCAAAAACAGCCACAATCTACTCCACGGGGTGAGGGGAGGGGGTGTACGAGGGCCCGCGCCGATCGGCAAACAATGAATAAGAAAACGCTCACTTGTCAGCGCTCAGGGCCTACGTATTCCGAATACCTCGCCACCGCGCTTGCAGTGCGTCGGCACGTTTGTAACTCCTGGCGAAAGGACTGGTAACAACGGCTTCCATTGAACGGGCCTTCAGATATTGCCACTTCAGATATCAACTATTACAGGTTTGCCCGCCTCGCAAGGCAGCGTATCTGATCTGAACTAAGGGTACCGACTTTCGCGAATCCATTTCAAGTCGCACACGTGTTGGCGGGTTCTTGGCCTTCTCCTTCCCAATACTCAGACGTTGTATTTTTCAAAGCGTCGAACCCCAAAGGTCTCGACCCCTTCCCCAGGACCGGCTTTTCAGCCTGAGCAATTTTGGGCAATCCCGGGAACTGGCGAGGGCCTCTGGAGACAGAAAATGCAGAACACCGTACGTTGCATCTTTTTTCGCAGCGAAACGAGGTGGGACCCTCTTCGGCTCATCTCGGGGCTCTCTTGGTCTCCCCCTTCGGCTCCTCTTGGAGCTCTCTTGGGTCGTCTTGGGGCCATATCGAAACTTCTGATGCCCATCGGGAGCGAAACGGCGAAAGGTAATCACCATTGAAACCCCACTGGCTTTTTACAATTTGGGCACTTGGGAGGGGGCGCGGCGTCATTGGGACCCACAAGGGGGGGGGCGTCGGGTCCCAAGGCGCGCGGGGTGGCCAAAGGTGGGGAAACCACAAGGCACCAACCCCGCTACTCCTCAGACCTCTCTTGGGGTGTGTTCTGACCAGAACTTCGAGGCGAATCCGGCGGTGGCAACGAGAAAACGAGGCACGGGCAGCGGTATGGTATGGGCACCTCCTCCGAAGAGGTCACGAGGGGGGCCCGGTGGCCCGTCGCCATGGGGCGCAATGGGGACGCTGGCGGTGGACAACGCAAAAGCGCATTGCTGTCATCTCATTATGCCGTGAGTTTTCCTTCCTCCCTCCCCCTCCTCCTCCACCTCCTCCCTCTCTCCTCTTCCTCCTCCTCCTCCTCCGCCTCCTCCTCCTCCTCCTCCTCCTCCTCCACCTCCTTTCTCCTCTCGCTGCGAAGAAACACATTGGCCTGTGACATACCCAACCTTGTCTATACATGTGGCGATTATACTTAGGACCACTTACTGCTGACTGGCATTCTGAAGGACCCGCAGTGCGCAGAAAGAACACCCAACAATGCTTTCAGAAGAGCGCAGCAATAAGTCCCGTGGTGATCCGCGTATGACGTACCTCCGCTGGGCCTCCCAGGAGCACCCGAAAAAGGCGACAATTGCGCAGATCGCAACTCCCCAGGGGCGGCGAGGTTCCGTGGTGATCCGCGTATGGAGTACCTCCGCTGGGCCTCCCAGGAGCCAACGAAAGTGGCGACAATTGCGCAGATCGCAAGCCCCCCAGGGGGGCGGCGAGGACCCGAGGTGATCCGCGTATGACGTACCTCCGCTGGGCCTCCCAGGAACCCACGAAAGTGGCGACCCTTGCGCAGATCGCAGCCCCCCAGGAGCGGCGAAGTCCCGTGGTGATCCGCGTATGACGTACCTCGCCCACGAAAGTGGCGACAATTGCGCAGATCGCAAGCCCCCAAAAGGGCGGCGAGGTACCGAGGTGATCCGCGTGGGACCCACCTCCGCTGGGCCTCCCAAGAGCCCACGAAAGTGGCAACAATTGCGCAGATCGCAAGCCCCCCAAGGGGGCGGCGAAATACCGAGGTGATCCGCGTGCGACCCACCTCCGCTGGGCCTCCCAAAAATCAACGACACAAGGCGACAATTACGCAGATCGCACCCCCCCACGGGCGGCGAGGTCCCGTGGTGATCCGCGTGTGATGTACATCTGCTGGGCCTCCCAAGAAGCCCCGAAAATGGCGACACTTGCGCAGATCGCAGCCCCCCAAGGGGCGGCGAGGTCCCATGGTGATCCGCGTATGTCGTAGCTCCGCTGAGCCTCCCAGGAGCCCACGAACAAGACAACAATTGCGCAGATCGCAAGCCCCCCAAGAGGCGGCGAAGTCCCGTGGTGATCCGCGTATGACGTACCTCCGCTGGGCCTCCCAGGAGCCCCCGAAAAAGGCGACAGTTGCGCAGATCGCAAGCCGCCCAGCACCTCCGCTGGGCCTCCCAGGAGCCAACGAAAAAAGACGACAACTGCGCAGATCGCAAGCCCCGCAGGGGGCGGCGAGGTACCGAGGTGATCCGCGTGGGACCCACCTCCGCTGGGCCTCCCAGGAGCCTACAAAAGTGGCGACAATTGCGCAGATCGCAAGCCCCCCAGGGGGCGGCAAAATACCGAGGTGATCCGCGTGGGACCCACCACCGCTGGGCCTCCCAGGAGCCCACGAAAGTGGCGACAGTTGCGGAGATCGCAAGCCCCCAGGGGGGCGGCGAGGTACCGAGGTGATCCGCGTGGGACCCACCTCCGATGGGCCTCCCAGGAGCCCAAGAAAGTGGCGACATTTGCGCAGATCGCAAGCCCCCGAGGGGGCGGCGAGGTCTCGTGGTGATCCGCGTGGGACCTACCTCCGCTGGGCCTCCGAGGAGCCTACGAAAGTGGCGACAATTGCGCTGATCGCAAGCCCCCCAAAGGGGCGGCGAAATACCGAGGTGATCCGCGTGGGACCCACCTCCGCTGGGCCTTCCAGGATCCCACGACAATGGCGACAATTGCGCAGATCGT